TTGAGTATAAGTTAAAGTTGTTACCGTTAGAACAAATGTTAATGTCAATCTTCTGTCCATTTACCCCTTAATTCTGCAAAAAGTTATGAAGTTAATAAAATCAACAGAAGTTTAGCTAAAGAATATTTTACCATTAATTATGAAGTAGAATAGAGCGATTTTGATGTCGAGATTATATCAAGATAATCCTTTTGCCGTTTGCGCCAATAGATGGTTGCGTTTAACAGCTACAAAGTATTTTAAATATAACTGCAAACACCAGAGTTGATATTTAGTTTCAATAACAAACACTTTCAGCATGTATTTTATTAAATATTCTGTACATTAGTATTTGTTTATTGACTGTCAGGTTAATTTTAACGATAAATAATAGTTGTTTGTTGCTTAAATAACCATTACTTCCACAGTTATATTAATATTTCAATAGTTTTAAACTTCTACTTCTGTCTACGCTATATTTTTAATGAACGTTTGTCTTGTTTTTTAGATATAATATTGTAACATTCAAATTAAATCTCCGTAGCGGGCATTGGACGAGGTGTACAGAAATGAAAATTATATCGCGTTTACGTCCATTCCGATTGTGATTCAAAACATTTTATGCGGATTCAACTAATGTCGCAGTCGCTTCGTTGAAGACATCTTAATTCTTTTAATATGCAATTGCTAAGAATAACAGGTTAAGCAAAAACGGTCGCTTAGCGAAGCTTATACACATATAGTGAATTTATTGAACATTCTTGTCTTGAAAACCTGGTAATAAAAGTAAAATAAACTTTAGGAAAAGGAAGAATAAAAAGAAAATTACGCAAAAACGAAGAGACTTTTCTCCAATGACGTTTTTTCGAATGTTCCTTTCCCAGCACAAAGTTGTGGAAAAACATTAAGATAACGTTTTCGTAATTATTGGTAGGCCGCTCAGCTTTTTCTTTGCTAAAGGGACCTTTATATCTATCCTCATTTATCGAACAGGTTTTACAAACGTTAAGATAAAAGTATTTAAAACCTATTCTTTTTCCACCAGTACTCTAATGTTTTATCTGTACAAAAGTACTTACAGTTCTACGCATATAACTACACTAAGAGTTTAATCTTACTAATCTAATATTATACTAATCTAATCTTACTAATATTAATAATGCTAAAGTCGCATCTAGGATGAATGGATGTTTGTTAGAGTTTGTAGCCTAAATGGCTGAACGGATCTCGATGAAATTTGACAGGGATGTGGAGGATAGTCTGGAAGAACACTTAGGCTACTTAATTTTTTTTTATTTCCGTGCGGACGGAGTCGGGGGCGAAATCTAGCTGTTATCTAAACGCATGCTTAGTGTAGATCTTTCGGACAAAATCTATATTAAGTAACTCTCTTAATTAACACTTAAACTCTGAATGCAGCAGTAATTTTCTGAAATCTGTAAACTTTTACAAGGAAAATGTAATAGCGTTGTCAGAGATCCTGGTTTCCAAGTTTCATGATCTTTTTAATCTTTCTAAAATTTTACATTTTATTATGTCAAACACAACAAACAGTCCAAACCCACTGTAAGATTGGTTGAGGATCTGTAACCCAATTGCTACTGATTCTGTCTATTGATAACGAGCGTTAATTAAACCAGGAGATCCGCTTGTTAAAAAAAAACAAGATTTAACTATTGCGAAGGTAAAACAATATCGCATCCAATTTGGACGGTTGTATATTTTGCAAAACAAATAATTTATGTGTTAATGTTATACAAGTCCAATTAGTTGTTTCCACTGGGTGTTTATTTCCCCCCCTTCCCTCCTCCCTGTAGCCTCGTCCTGAGTATAATAACAAGCTTAAGTCCTTTAATTGGTACTGAGAAAAGAGTGTACCCTAACATTTGCTAATACACACTTGGATTACATTTATTATGATACCCTTCCCATTCAAGCCCTGTTGGATACCTTCTTTTTTTCGTTTAATTACAAAGATAATTTTACTCTTTCTAGATTATTTTCTTTGTAGGTCAAGTATTTTTATAGAACGATTTTATAAGAAGGCTGAATATTTTTTATTCGAATAGAAGTACACTTTAAAATAATAAGTTTACAAACGTTATAGAGTCAAACAGGAATTCAATAAAATCATCAAATATTTTTTAATCAATGCCGAATATTCCTAAATTGATATTAATTTCATGTTAAAAAATCGTCAAAACCTTTAAATTATTATGTAAGTTTTTTTTTATTTACTTGTCTATTTTAATAAATGCTTGTAGCTACGTAGACTTTGAATAATCAACATGACGTTATTTATAGAAATAGCAGAAATTAATTCTACAGAATAGAAAGCGGACAACATTCGAGGATTTATGCAATAAACGCTGTTTTCTTTTATTATACAAAAGAATATACAAACAAGTAGTGTAGTTGACCTGTTATATACAGTAAAATCTTGTTAGCTTCACTAGCACTGTAATGCTTTTATATGAATTAATTCTAGAACATTCTACTAGAATAGTTTATTAGCTTTGATCAAAACAATAACACGAAATAAGGTCGTATAAGTTGCCCCAATTCCTTAGAAGGGATAATCAATTGAAAATAAGTGGAAATATTGTGCTTAGTGGAAGTCAGTTTTGTTAGCGTCCACAAAGCAGCCCTTTCGTGAGGGTGAAGTTTTATAGGGGCATGTCACGAACGACCGCAGACTTAAAGAACTTGTGTAGGTGATACTTTGTCTTCGGTTCATGTCTCTCAGGTTAGTACTGTAACGAGTTAGTTAACACGATATGTTAACTTGCTACGACAATAAAATATGAACTCAGGGTACAATAAAACTGGGACTGCTCTGTAAAAATTGGTGTAGTATTGTTTGTGTAAAAGGACCGTGAGTTTGCACTGCGGATACACAAACGTGTTTGTTTCGTAAGAGCGAAAAGGTTTTTTATGTGTCGCATTGAAAATTAACGGTAATATGATACAAATTAGAGTTTTTATTCATTTTCATCTTGTTAGTACAAATTTTAACCTTTCCTTGATAAAAATCTCTAAAGCAATTTCCATGAATGCAATTCAAAAAGAATTTCTACTATATCTGGGGCCATTACTTACGATCCGCATTGCTTGAAAAGCTCTTTAATTCATTCTTACTTAGTAGAAATCAGCGCGAAACGTTTTTGTCGACAATGAAGATATTTATAGCATCCATTCATGAATTCTCGTTGTACTTGTAGAAATATGTTTTGACTTTTTATTTGGGAAAGGGACTACCCGTTTAATACCTACGGTCACCATTTTTTTAGGGTTCTCCCTTATTTTATTGAAATACTATAAAGATTTTTGAGCACACGAGGAAAACATTTAAAGATCGACTACTTTTCTAAAATTAGAAATATATTATCATCAGGTAAACATGTGTTCGAATACTGCCCTTAAAAATTGATAAGGGTTCGTGACAAAGGTCGCATGGTCACGTGCCCGCGCTGAAGCGCACGTGATTTCTATTCATATTTCCATTTCAATTGCGTACTCATACTTATAACATCTGTTTTTATTCACGTTAGTGATTCCAAAAAAGGCGCGAATAAAATTGAAATTCTGTTAACCAGTTACAATTATTGTACACTCAAAAAAATCGGAGGCTTATTTAAAAAAAAAAATCGTTCATGATATTGCAAAGGAATATAATATACTAGTTTTCACCCGCGACTCCGTCCGCGTGGAATTAAGAGAAATAAAAGTGCGGAGCTAACATGTTCTCCCAGACTATCCTCTACACCTATACCAAATTTCATCGAAATCCGTTCAGCCGTTTAGGCTACAAACTCTAACAGACATCTATCCATCCATCCATCAAAACTTTCGCATTTCTAATATTAGCTTTACAATATTAGTGTGATTGAGGAGACATTTTATAGAGATATGAATAATGCATTGCACTATGATTTTCATACAACAATGTGTCTAGTGGTTAATACTTTGTGAGCTATTATAACAATCAGGTCAAACCACGTCGAAATTAAACGGTAATTACAAAAAACTTGAATATTCTTGGCTCAACAAAAATGAAGTAGCAGCAAAGTGTTATTACAGTAACATTTAAGAGTATCACAAATTACAGCGTTTAAAAAGAACAAAAACACATTGAAAATGAACTTAAAATATAAAACCTCCAGATGCGAAAGCAGATCAAGGTTTTTCATTATGTTGAATAACCTTTCTCCATTCTTATATATAATACATACATATAAATGTTAGTACACATATCGTCTACCAATATTCTCGGCGGATTGTAGTCATATTTTAGCCCATAATTCAGGAATTGTGAAGAACGAATTGAAAGTAAGAAACGATGTGGTACGGATAATATAAAAAAGAACATAACAAACCAATCTACAAATCAGTTATCTCATTACTTTTTAGTATTGACTACTTGTATTTTTTAATTAAAACAAAAGACAAACGAGCAATGACGACTACATTACATTATTAGCATACTTTTTCAGCTAGAAAGAGTAGGTTTTGTACAGTTCTAAATAATGACTAAATTTGAAGTAAACATATTCACTGTACTCGGAACTTGTTCATTAAAAATAAGTTAGTAAATTGTGTTACTATTCAGTGTAAAGTAATGCGACCAGAGATGGCGTGTCAGAACTTCAGTGGCCCCGTTTCAGTTAGTTATCAAAAAGTTTCATTAAGGAAAAGTTGACGGCCGTTCGCCGCTTTATTGTTCAATTCATTTGTCTGAGAGCGGGCGCAAACCGGCGCAAACCGGCGCGGTAAATAATGGAAATGCTGCGGAATCCAACGCCTCTTGTATGCTACTAGATTATTGTCCTGTAAGTTTGTCTTGCTCGTCGTTGCTCTAACTGAATGCGCAAGCAAACTTTATTATTGTAATAACAACTCTTCTGTAAATGATGACAACGCTCAAGCGCGAATAAACAATATTACCAGTGCAAGTTAAAAGTTAAAAGTGGGCTTTGAAAGTAAAAGGAGTGCCTGGGAAATACCTGCAGCTTATTCAGGCCATGTACTGGCGAGCCAGTACATACGTCCGGTCCGCTGCTGGCGATAGTGACATGTTCGGTGTCTCGGTGGGTTTACACCAGGGGTCGGCTTTAAGCCCGTATCTGTTCCTCCTGGTAATGGATGCTTTGACATTAAACATACAGGAGGAGGCACCCTGGTGTATGCTTTATGCCGATGACATCGTGCTTGTCGGGGAGGATGAATGCGAGGTACAGAGCAGGTTGGAAGAATGGCGGGTTAAATTGGAGGGAGCTGGTCTTAAAATCAGCAGGACCAAAACTGAACATTTGTTTTGCGATTTTGGCGGTCCGACCAGCTTCTCTCCAATCGCCTTAAATGGTGTGCCTCTACCAACCTGCTCCGACTTTAAGTACCTCGGTTCTCTAGTCCAGTCCGACGGTGGCGTTGACCGAGACGTAAAAAGCCGAATAAATGCAGGTTGGATGAAATGGCGACAGGTTACTGGTGTGACTTGTGATCCAAGAATGCCTCTTAGGCTTAAGGGACAGATCTACAAGTCCATCATAAGACCTGTCGTATTGTATGGATCTGAATGCTGGGCCACCAAAGTTGCGGATGAAAGGAGATTGCATGTGGCTGAGATGCGTATGTTAAGATGGATGTGTGGTGTGACAAGATTGGATAAAGTTAAGAATGTGTACATTAGAGGAAGTTTGAAAGTAGCGCCAGTGGTGGAGAAATTGAGAAGCAAAAGGTTAGCGTGGTATGGACATATTATGCGACGAAATGATGGGGACATAAACCAGAAAGTGTTGAGATTGAATGTGGATGGCTACAAAGGAAGAGGAAGACCGAAGAAAGTATGGATGGATTGTGTGAAGGAAGATATGCTTAAGAAAGGAGAGGATTCAGATATGACGGCTGATAGAGATGTATGGAAGAGCAGCACATACTGTGCCGACCCTCCATAAGGGATAAGGGCAAGTGGATGATGACCAGTGCAAGTTAATCTTATACTATTAAGCATTCAGTACCAAGGTTTATACCGAGCCCTATTACAATTTAAAATATCTTTGAATTTCTTTTTGTCTTTAGGTTATGATTAAGTGGAATTTTATAACAGATACATCAAATAACAATAAAAGTAATGTGATGTTTTGAAAACAATTAAATTTACCAATTCGATTCTCTAATCTTTTTAATGTTCAAGCCATTAGCCATTTTATACCATTCGTGCATATCCCTTCGGAAACAAATTTGTAGAAAAATATAGTTCTAGTAAAATCTGAGTGCTACAGACAACTGATAGTTGTTTGAAAGTTTTGGAGCGTAGTACGTGAGAAAAGTCTTTGTAACTGACATTGTTACTGTATTATTTTTGGTTTAAAAATTTAATTTTAATTTACTTTGTTAAACTTAACATCAATTAAAGTATGAACATTTAGAATTGTGACATAATTTTTTTAAAAGGTCCTAATTTTTAATCAGTTTCAATTGTTATTATAATTTTGTAGTATTAAGCAACTCTAAATTATATCAAGCAGAACTGCATATTTAAGTATAACTTTTTTACTATTCGATTATCGTTTCTTGATTTCGACGAATTCGTGTAAAATGCGAACATGAACTTAAAAATTCGAATATTTTGTAATCAGGATCGTGCCGTGAGAAATGTGTTGATGGACAAATGGAAACGTTTATGTGATGTTAATGTAGTGGTAACATAGATAAATATATTCAAATTATAGAACAAAGCAAATTGTACGTTTGTTTGTATGGAGTGGTCGAGTGAGTGCAAGTGGCGAAGACTTTATTCACAGCTCGCCGCTGGAACTGTTGCCTGCAAAATATAAATTGCACTCGCCTGAAATTACCTCTACGTTTTATGACACGGCCGAGGAAAAATTGTAACCCATTTGGCTCAAAAAATTTATCTAACTTTTTATTTGCTTAGGTGCATACTACGTGAATTAACTGTGTGTTTTAAGCGTAACATTTATTTGGTGGCTGAAATCTTGTTTTTTTTTTTTAATAAATTTGAATGTAATAAAATCATTTAATTATTACTGGGATGACGTAATTAGGACCTGACGGAATGTCCATCAAGAAAAAGTCGCGTTTTAGCTTATGAAATTCTAAAAAGATATACAAAAAGATGCCTACATCTAATACGAGACTCATCAAGTGCCTTGCTCTGAATTGCTTGAGAACTTTCCGTTAGACGTGCCAAATTACTGAATAAAGAAAGCGCAGCGTTATCTTAAGTTGCTAGCTGTACTCCTCGTAACATTTACGGATTCGCCGATTATCTAGGCGAACACTGCACTAGCTTAAATTAACATTAATCGCTCTCGAATGTAAAGGGTTGTATACCTGAATGTTTAGGTTACAACAGTTCACTATCTGCCTCTTCATAAGAGGACTACATCGCAAAACTCATTTGGCATTTAGCCACCCACCGCGCCTAGCGTGTAGATGCCACGATGTTTTAAATATCCGCTTTTTATTCCGAAATGCTGAGGCAACTTGCCATGACAGGATTTAAGCACGGAGCTTGCGCCCTGTTTTAATAAAGTTCGAGAAACACGTTCGAACTTTTATCATTCTTTTATCTCCAACTCTTATTTGTACTAAATCTCGCTCAGTTTTTGTTTGATAACATCTTTTTGACGATTCAAAATAAAATTAAATATGAACAAGGTTTGTTGCAGCATCTGGTGGGTTATTATTGATTATTGTAGCGTAAGTAAAACGTTATGAATTGGAGGCTTTAACATAATCGGAAGTAATATTTCAGTCCAGTGGGTAGGTATGGAATGGTTCGTTAGTTCGACCGGCGTGTTGAACGGCGGCGCGGCGCATCCTCCCGGCGGAAAAACTACCGCCGGTAAATACAAATCACGCTCTCTCTGCGCCACTGCGCGCTGCTATTTTGCCGCTTCTATCACAGTTAGAATGGAAAACGTGTCACCTTTCAACAATATTTTTTGAACCAGAAAATTAGTGCTCTTTTCAACAGCAAAAAATAGTGCAATTTCATTTGAATTTTCTGAGTGTGCGTTAGTAACAAAACGTTAACAACGAGAGCAGTATAATGTTTTATGTTGAAACATAATTTTATTATTTATGTGGTTAGTATAAGGATAACGTAAAGACAAAGGAATAAATTTTTAAAAAGATATCCTGATTTTTTCTAATCCAATTTAGCAGCATTCTGTGTAAGATATTATTTATTTATACGTACAAATCGTGCTCTTTTTCCTTCAAATGAAATGCTGCATAAACAATGTACAGACTAAGGAATACAATTTATAAATGTTTCGTTAATTAAACTTTTTATTGACTTAATCGCAATCTTTTTAACTTTGTAACGTTTAAGATTCCGCTCGCTCTCGGAGCTCCCTTTGTGCCTATTGTTTACGAACTAAGTAACAACAGACAAGAGCAGTCGCCAGCTATAAAAACAGCGATCACAATTACAAGATAATATGAAAGTTTAAACAATATGATACACTTCTACTTATCTCTTTTCACTATTTGTCAATTTGTAGAATTTATAAATCTTGAAAATGATATTAAAAATACCACAAATTACAATTACATTACTTACCTATTTACTTGTGGAAAAAAATATATCTAAATATTGTATAATGTAAGATTGCGCGATCGCGACTTCGCCCGCGTGAAATTAAAAAAATAGAAAAAATACAGCCTATATTACTCACTGATAACGTAGCTTTTTAAAAGTGAAAGATTTTTTGAAATCGGTTCAGTAGTTTTTGAGTCGGTCCAATTCAAAATAAAAATCTCTCCTCTTTATGACATCAGTACAGATGTTGCTTTGTAATTAGATTGCCCTTTGATTATTTTTCAAGATAACTTATATTTGATACTGGATTTTATTATAATCGGTAGCGTACCTACTCTGAATGCAATGCAATATGTTCCCACACCAAATTTTTCGTTTCTGTATCAAAATTATATTTTTGTGTTATTATCACAAGGATCAGGGTATATTTATGTTGAGCTTGTTCGTAATCAAGGACAAATACATTTAGCATGCAAATGTTTTGTCTGCAAAAAAACAATACGGGGCGTGAGCGTGAGTTTTTCATTATAGTACATCTAAATGGAAAAACTGTGTACGGTTTGTGTCATCGCATATTCATTGGGCATTTTCGTGAGTCGACCTTCCAAGATTTGCGCGTTGTCTAAGTAAACAACGTCTAATGGAAGGATTTTACGCGGTTACGTGACGGTTAGTGACATTCGGTCTTCGAAAATTTACTAATTCATTAAGGAACTTCGCACGATACCAACTTGTACCAAGTTTGCTTGAATTTTAATGTGAATCCAGAATTTTAAATCAGTTATCTGAAATAGATCATAGGGATTTCAGATAGGTCTCAGGTTGCATACGTATTGCGATAAAAGCTTAACGTTTGGGATGTGATTGAGATTTACTTATTGAAATTTGAGAGTAGCCCCCGTAGTAGAGAAGGTAAGCAGTAAAAGGTTAGCATGGTATGGGCATGTTATGAGGAGGGATTAATCGCATGTTACAAGGAGAACGTTAGTTATGAGTGTGGAAGGGTACATCGGTGGAGGTAGACCTAGAAACAGATGGATGGATTGTGTAAAAGGTGACATGGTCAAAAAGGGAGTGATGACTGAGATGACGTATGATAGAGTTATGTGGAGGACAAAAACCTGCTGCGCCGACCCTACGGGAGTAGGATAAGGAGATGATGATGATGATGATAATGATGATGAAATGGTGATACGTTTTAAAGTGTGTACAGTTTAAGCCTAGTATAAGAAGGCTTTTACTTTTATAGTATGAAGAATTACTCTGCTTATAATACATATTGCTTTGGGATTTTATTAAATTTAGCTTTTCTTTTATACGGCATATTATTGTCAAGGAGTCTCGTAACTGATAATATATTGAAACTAATTATAAAATCTTTAAAAGTGAATAATTTTTTATCACCAATATGCGTAACATGTAAGGTAAGTTCACATTGAATTTCAAGTGCAGAATGTTTTAAGTTAGTTGGTAAAGTTTTATCTTATTATCCAAAAGAAGTAAAGTTTAACGTAGCATGCAGCGCGTTAGCATTCAGAAGTCTTCGCTTATTGCGAACTTGCCTTCAGCGTAGTGCCCCGTGTGTCGCGATGTAGGCACCTAGAGAATATACACGTACAAACTCTTTGGTATGCCGATATGCAAAAGTATCGCACGGAGCGGCACTTTAAGTCGAGAGCATTTTTCTGTTTTTACCGTTCGCGGTCAACTGTTGTCGACGCTTTTATTCTTTGCTAAATGTAGTCTATGTATTACGACTACACAAAATGTAAATACGTACGTGTAAACATTGTGTTACCAGTTGATTGCGTTTTTACTCTATACTATTATATAAACCAAGCGATAAACTTAAGTCACATCATGCTCATTATGCTCGATTCTATTGATTAAGATAAGCTTATAATAGTCGTAGATGTATTGAGATCGTATTCTGTCGTAAGAAACATCTCTGTGACAAAGACGAAAAACTAAAATATAACACCAAAA